ATGTAGTGGCTCCAGTTTGCCCATCACCCCGACCGCTTTGGTGACCACCATTACCTCGACCACCGCGTCCTCCAGAATAATGGTCTCTACCATGACCACCTCTACCTCTAGCTATTGGGGGTCTATAACTCTGTTTGGGACAATTCCTCCTAATATGTCCAGTCTCTCCACATCCATAACACTCTATAGAGTCAAGCATGGGTCTCTCAGAGAAGTGTTGACCGGTCTGAGGTGGACCCCCAACTACAGTCTGTAGTGAAGACTGAATAGGTCGAACTGAGTAACCTCCGGAACCCTGTCCTCTAGAGTAAGAACCATTAAATTCTCCTCCCTTTCGTAACCTCTTTGATGTCGATGCCATGGTGAATTCATCTGGCTTCACTTCTTCCACCTCTACCACGAAATCTACCACTTCTTGGAAGGATTTTTCCGTAGCCGCTACCTGTAAGGCTGAAATCCGCAACTCTGACCTCAACCCCTTCACAAAACGACGAATCCGCTCTTGTGGACTGAAACAAAGTTGGGTGGCATATCTGGATAGTGCACGAAACTTAGCCTCATATGCATTGGCTGACATCCTACCTTTCTCTAGGCTCAAGAACTCATCCCTTTTCCTATCCCTCAAAGTCCGGGGGATATACTTCTCCATAAACAAGCTAGAGAATGAGGCCCAAGTCATAGGTGGTGCCTCCGTTGGTTGACACTCAACATGTGACCGCCACCATATTTTGGCGTTCCCTTGAAACTGATAACTCACGAACTCAACACCAAACCGTTCTACTATACCCATCTTGTGTAGTAGCTCATGACAGTCAACCAGGAAACCGTAAGCATCCTCAGATTCAGCACCCTTGAAGACTGGAGGTTTCAATTTCAAGAACTTACTGAAAAGTTCATGCTGATCATTTGTCATTATAGGCCCAGTAGTCAGACGTGGAAACGTGCCTATGTCCAATGAGGCATCCATACGAGGAGTCATAGTGGCTGCATGTTGTACCTCTGAAACCGGAGGTGCTGGTGCAGAAAACACTGGAGGTGCCTGACCTTGATCAGACAACCCACTGAGATAGGCGAGAACCTGATTGATCATCTCTGGGGTAGGTTGGGGTGGCAATCCCTCATTCTGCACTTGTTCATTTTCCCCATCCTCCCCTTCTCTTATTACTTCCTCAGTCGGTGGAGGAGTCACTGCCCTAGTATCAGATGGCTAGGTGCTCGTCCTCTTCCCCTAGAGGACGTCCTCCCACGACCTCTACCACGGCCTCTTGCCGCTGCTCTTCCTCGAGCTACAGCCCCAGTGGCTGGCTCAGACGCACCCTGTCCCGCTGGTGCTGGTGTTGGTGTTGGCGTACTCGTTGCTCTAGTTCTAACCATCTGCGAAATAGAGTGAAGATGATCAGATACCAATTTGTATCACCTAGATACCAATTGGACCCAAGTAATAGCACGAAAGAAAGAAAGAAGAATGGAATTTTCCTAAAGTCTTATAGCCTCTCAAAGAAAAGTAAAGGCGTCTCCTTACCGTTCCTTAAGACTCTACCAGACTCGTTCTTGTGTGATGAGACCAACGAACCTAATGTTCTGATACCAAGTTTATCACGACCCAAAATCGGACCGCGACTAGCACCCACACTTACCCTCCTATGTGAGCGAACCAACCAATCTAAACCTTAACATTTCAATGTAATATCAACATAAAGTAATGCGGAAGACTTAAAACTCATTAACAAAATCAATAATCAACTTCTATAACTCAAAACTTATCATTATCCCCAAAATCTGGAAGTCATCACCACAAGAACATCTATGATCAAATTACTAAACTAAGAGTATTCTAAGAAGCTAAAAAAAATACATAAAAGCTAGTCCATGCCGGGACTTCAAGGCATCAAGACATGAAGAGGAAGATCCAGTCCAAGCTAGAAGCATTAGCTAACCCTGAAGATCCGATGTGACGAAGACTGACTAGAGTTACTGTTGAGTCGAAGATGACGGCACGTTTGCTGCACTCCACAATAAACAAGAAGAAAACATAAAAGTAGGGGTCAGTACAAAACAGGGGTACTGAGTAGATATCATTGGCCAACTCAAAATAGAAAACAGTATATACCAAGTAATATCATAAAATCAACTATGATACTCAACATGTAGCAACAACAAGCACTATATCATTAACAATTACCGTCAAGTTCACACATGAGGACTCAAGCCCCAATACCCTACTCATTTGGGAATCATGTTCATTAGATTGAGTATATTAACATATTTAAAGATTCATTATCTTTATTTCTCTTGTGTCGGTACGTGACACTCCGCTCCCTCATATTCATTATTCCTCTTGTGTCGGTACGTGACACTCCGATCCCCTAAATCTACGTGTCGGTTTGTGACACCCGATCCCCTAAATCTACGTGTCGATTTGTGACACCCGATCCCCTAATTCTACGTGTCGGTTCGTGACACTCGATCCCCTAATTCTACGTGTCAGTTCGTGACACCCGATCCCCTAATTCTACGTGTCGGTTCGTGACACCCGATCCCCTAATCTCATTCTATCAACTCATCAAGCCTTCTCCCTTACCAAGGCATCATCAATCTCATTACTTTAGTTCATCAAGCCTTCTCCCTTACCAAGGCATCATCATCAAAAAGAGATTAGGTTTTTATCAAGATTTGGGATTCAATAACTTCATCATGCTTAATATAATCACAATTATATAATCACGTTCATGCATGCATACAATTAAGCACATAGCAGGGTTTACAATACTATCAATACATATCATTCTCTATTAAGAGTTTACTACGAAAGCATGAAAACCATAACCTACCTCCACCGAAGACTAGTGATCAAGCAAGCAAATTCCCAAAGCTTTGTTCTTCTTTCTTCCTCGTTCGACTCTCCCTCTCTCTCTTGTTCTTTCTATTTTCTTTATTCAAACCCTCTTTATTTTACCCTAATTAGTATATAATTAAGAATAAAAGGTGACAATAATAACCCACTAATTAACTTAAGGTTACCTCTTTTAACCCCCAAGTAATTAGACTTATTAACATTAACCCTCTAACTTTAGAATTAAAGTAGAAATAGTCCAAAACGTCCCTTAAAACGTGTAAAGAAATCCGACCCAGACTGGGATTTCGCAGTCTGTGACGGCCCGTCGCGCCTGCGACGGTCCGTCCTGCTGCCCGTCACAGAGTTCAGAGACTCAATTTCTCTGAAGAGTATGTGACGGTCCGTCACACCTGTGACGGTCCGTCCTGCCATTCCGTCACGAAGTTCAGAGAGTCGATTTTCAGTACCCAATTTCAGATTTTCTAAGTGTTTTGAAACGAGACCCTGCGACGGTCCGTCGTGCCCATGACGGTCCGTCGTGGGGTCCGTCGCCTCAGCCTGTTTTTCTAGAAATAAAATCTGCTGCTCAAAACGACTAAACAGGTCGTTACAATATGGTTAGTCTCTTAGCCTCTTAAAAGCATCGATAGATTAATGTGTAAATTTCTAAGAAACTGACAGGTCATGTTGAATGTTCTTAAGATAAAACTATGAATGACCATATCCAGGGTGTGGTTAAAGAAGACTGCAATTAGAAACAAAAGCAAAGAGAAAGAGACGAACAATAATAATAGATTCATGAATGGACATAGCTCATAAAAAAATAATTAAAAATATATATAAAAAAGAAAAAGAAAAAAGGGAAGACTACTAGAAACTTATACTGATAACTACATAAAGAACAAGGGAGTGAAGAAGTAATGAGTAGGACTTCACAACAAAAAGTTTTATCGAATATTAACAAATCTGAAATAACCCCAACAACTATATTGGTGTCACTACTAGAAACTTATACTGATAACTACATAAAGAACAAGGGAGTGAAGGATTACTGAGTAGGACTTTACAACAAAAAGTTTTATCAAATATTTAACAAATCTGAAATATATATATATATATATATATATATATATATATATATATATAGGGAGTGCATACATAATGTGTAGTTATTAAATTAAATACGGAAAAGGATCATATTTGTCCTTGAACTCTCAGGAAATGATCATATTTATTCTTTGTTATACTTTATATATATATATATATATATATATATATATATATATATATATATATGTCTATCCTTACCATCCAACTTTAAGCATATATTTGTACAATTAAGTATCGTGTCATCATTTTTATTAATCTACGTGGCGTCTACATGACATCTACGTTGTTCCATGTGTATGTATTTTTATTATAAAATTTGATTTTCTATTTCGATTCTATCCGACCCTTTAATAAAATTCGCCTATTAACCCGATTTCAGTTCCCATCAATTCACATTAATTTAGCCATCAGAACATGATAATACAGAGACAACAACCTTCAACTTTCTTTCAGTAGCTTTACAAGATCTCAGAAAAAACAAAATTTTACCAAAGCATCCACAAAAAGATTGTTTTGACAAGATCTTGTAGGTTGTTGATTTTCATAATTTTTTCAACTGCTAACTCTTCACAACAAATATGTTGTTGTCCAAGAGCATCGGTCCTGGAATGAATTCAGAGAGTAATTCATGGGACAATTTTCTTAAATACCTCATTCATATGGATCCAAAACATTTAGATAACATAAATTAAATTAGTGCACGAAAAAAATAATAGAATGACTTTTCTCTATTATATGAAGTGTCACAAGAATGACGAGTACAGAAATTAGAATTAATGGATATTGAAATCTGGTTAATGAGTCTATATTTTAGTTGGATCGAATTTTACTAAATGGATAGTATTGAGTACTAAATATATGATAAAATTTTATAATAAAATAATAACATGAAGCCACATAGGTGCTATGTAGGCGCCACATAGACTAATGAAAATGATGGTACAATACTTAATTGTACAAGATTAAATATATGCCTAAAATTGAATGATAAGAATAAATATATTTTTAAAAAAATGACGGTACAATACTTAATTGACTCTTTTTCCGAATTAAACAGGGTAGAATTGTATTTTCGGAGCTGGATAAGTCTTATCATTAGACTGCTCCTCTCTGTTGCCAAACATTCCGATTAGATGACAATTACCGTGTACACCCCTGCGCATGTTACCACCAGCGTCTTAAATTCCCGGCTCCTCCGCTCTCCGCCACGACGGACATTGTCGACGGCGAGATATCACCGCAATTTTTGCTTAACTTGCGTGTTAATACCGGAGACAAGGCGGGAAAGCAGACGATTGGTCAACATAGCCCTTGGGGTCTTGCTTCAATGGCTAGCTCTACCTAACGGTGATTCCCTTCATTCTAGCAATGCTAACCTGCGCCACTGTTTAATGCAGTGCGCCTTACTAATTACATTTGTAATCATCTGCTCATGTCTAAAGCGACTTTTGGCTGCCATAGGTTATCATACAAGTGAGATAGTGATCGAAATTGGTATTATATATGCAAAAATGAAATTGTAGTTATATTCATTGCTCTCTGTGTGTCTAATTTTCTTGTCCTTCTGAAAATTTGTTTTGGATTAATGGAAAATTTTACAAGCGACTTAAGAAAGTTGTGTTGGAACTTTTTCATTTGCAGATGCAGTAGGAGCTAGCCCTTTTGACAAGTATGTGAAAAGGTGAGCACAAAAGTTGTGGGTATTTGTAATAGGTTACCTATATAGTTTTTATATAGTTGATGCTCTAATCCCATCTTGATGTCTATTGCTAAAAGTGAAGTGTCCAGTTCTGTATTCAGTAGCCAAAGCATTGTTAAAGTCCCTACATAGATGAGCTGCTTGGATAGAAAGAAACCTCAGGTGCCATCAGAACAAGAGCAACAATATCCAGAAGATGAAGATGAAGTGCTTAGTTCTGTTTCATTTTTGGTGTAAACAGGAGTATAGGGAAGATCTAGAATCAATTATGGATGTCTTAAGATCTTTGTAAGTTTTTGTTAAAATGGTTGAAGATCTTCTGGATACTCCTCCTCAATTGTAATTAGGAAACCTGTAACTTGTTGTGGTAGGATTCTGTTCTTTTAGAAACAGAATACAAGTTGTTACCTTCTTAAAAAAAAAAAAGGTCCTCACATACCAAGCCTTCTAGACATCACTCCCAATTTGAATTATGTCCCTCCACAACTCCTCTCTATTCTGACTTCCTTTCTTGGCATAGAAAATAGTTAGGTAGATTGAAAAAGTATCATTTGCAACAGACACTAGAATGAGTAAAGAAGAGACATTTGGTTTCTAGGTGTTTTCTCTGTATGGTGACTGAGGAGACAAACAAGCAGCTTTTTTTGCACTGCAAGTACACTGCTCAGTTGTGGAATTTGTTTCTCAACATACTGGCTATAGCTAGGCCATTCCTGAGCATACACCAGACCTTCTTAGTTGCTGGATCAGAAGAGGGGGAAGTAAGAGTCAAAGAGATGGTGGAGATTGATTCCCTCATGTATATGGTGGTCAGTATGGAGGGTGAGAAATGCCAGATGTTTCAAAGATAGGTCCAATCCCATTCATAAAGTCAAATGGAATTGTGTTGTATCTTTACTCTTTTGGTGTAAACAATTATGTATAGAGGATACTGATCAGATTATAGATCTGATAGGGAGTCTGTAATTTAACTTTTTGGTGGTGGCCAGCATATCCTTAATGCTGAAGAATACAAACTTACCTATTTCGAAAAAAGAAAAGAAAAAAGAAGAGTATATTGTTGATGAACCACCAGTACCTACACTTGTATATGAGCCCTCCATAGTAGTCATACCCTACCATGAAAAGCCATAGGGTAGTTGAGACAATGTTTGCAGTCAGTATATTCCCAGACTTTTGCATTTTAGTTCTACTTTCAATAACTCCCATAATTTCTATCTTTTATCTTTTCTTCTGCAGAAAGAGCTTCAACTCTTCTCTTTCAAAGGTTGGCTAAGCTTTCTTATGTTCCATATGGAGATAATCACTGAGGGAGATGGGTATCCCTCGGGTCTCCAGTGTGAGTGATCCTCACATCTTGAAGAGCTTCATAGCCATTTGCAACCTTCACATTTCACATGCTCCTCTATTTGTAGAACTTTAGGAGGCTACACCTTTTTTTTCCAGTTATATCTAGGTTGTTTAGGTTTTCGGTTCCTGGGCCTCTTCTTGTTGACTTCCTGGGACTTAGGCTCTTCCTGTGCTTCCACTTCAGAATCCATCATGCTTCAACTTTTTGGACAAATGTCATACACTTTGAACAAAGTTTTGGATGCCAATTATACTCAATTATGAAAAGATCCAGTTGGTATCATTACTTCAATAGACTCCAAGAGTGGCCATGATCAGCTTCAACTAGTACTCTAGCGTATGATTTTCGTGCCATTGAAGCAGTGAACCTGTCAGTGAGAGGGGTTTCCCAGTGTCACTCGCAACCTTACTCAATACTTCATCAGACCAATAGGCCACCGGAATTCATGGTAGCGTGATCCAAAGGGGGATTTTTCTTTGAACATGTAACATGTTTGTGTATTAATAACAAACTACACAAATGGTGTGTAATCACCCATATTTACATCTAGATGAGCAAAAAAATAAGCTCCCTAATCTTCTCATTAGGAATCTAGTACATCATATATTGATTCTAACTCTTCCACTAAGCTATGTTTACACCAAAAAAAGAAAAGCCCTTAACATTTTATCTTTAGTATCTGAATCCTAATGGCTGTCTTCAAAACACACTTGGTTTCTTTCTTTCCACTCAGTCCACCAAATGCAAGCTGGGAAATTTTCCATCTCTCTTTCTAGTTGGAGGGATTGGTATCACTAACTCAACATTTCAGTACCTCAGATACTCTTCCCAGCATAGTCCAGCTAATGCCTCTCAAGTTAATAAAAATCTTCCACAACTGATCAGTCCAGCTGCAATGAAGAAAGAGATATGAGAGATTGTCTCTGCTTCCTTACCGCATAGGAAACACCTTGAGCAAAAATTGGAACCTATCCTCATGAGTTTATGTTGTGTGAGTACAACTTCTCTTGCTAGTAACCAAGAGAAGCATGCAACTTTGTGGGGGATCTCAACCCTCCAGATGATCTTCCCAGTCCAAGTCCCACTCTAATTGTTTGAGGTTGTGAATACTCTGTATGCTGCTTTCACTGTAAATTTGTTCTGCTTATTTCTTAGCCATATCAAGCAATCTACCTCAGTTGATGTTCTTTTGAGCTGTTCAAAAGTTCTGAAAAAGCTTGCTAGCCTATCGATTTCCCAATCATTTAAAGTCTTCTGAAACTCAACTGCCACTCCTCTTCACCCCTATACAACACACCTTACCATCCTTAGAGCTAGGAGGAACATAGGATAGTGTCTTATCTTCCTTCACACTCCTATGCCCTAATCTTTTTTCTCCGCCAGATGAAGTACCAGCTTCAGAGAATTGTAGCTAGCAGGCTGCCAGTTGAGTACCGTTTGTTCACCCCCATATGGCTCCAGATGGATAGAGGATGAAGAGTTGGAGTCCTCTCCTTTATCCTGAACAATTAATGAAATCATACTGGGATTAAGCTTCCAAACTTTATTGATTGCATTCTACAACTCATTCCATCCTCCGATGTGACCAATTTCTCTCTGATTGTGCATCTTTACCAGAATGTAACTGTCTTTGTTCCCTTCGTCTCTTTGTCCACGTCATCGGGGTTGGTCCTTTACCTTGTCTTCAGCATGGTCCTTCTCTCTTTTCTGAGGATACCTCTCCGGCGGGTTGATCTTCACAAAACTTACTTTTTAATTGTACCCTGTCGCATAGTGTCCATTCCTCACCATGCCATGTGCGTTAGTCAGTTCCAGCCCAATAGAGTTATATGGTTTTATTTAATAATAATAAATTTGATATGGTTTTATTTAATAATAATAAATTTGATGATGTATTTAATGACTTGAGTTTGCACTTGGGTCTTTTTTTTATTGGAGTAGTTTGCACTAGGAATATTTTAGTGAAAATAATAAAAAAGAAGGTATCTTTTTAGTATGATAATGAAAGAGGCGAAGCATCGATAGTGATTTTATTTAGTTCAAGCAAGTTTTCCCTGGTTTAATTTAGCCCGCAATTTAAATGAAGTTAATTTATTTTTTTTCTTCTGTGCCCCTCTCAATTCTCAAGTCAAATTTATCTTGGGCAATCTGTTCTGTGAAGTAAACTAATTTCCCAAGTGGCGTTGACTATTTAAAATGTGCTAAGCTTTGGGTTCAAAGCATTGTTGCCTGCTAGCAAAGATGAAACTTGTATGTGGCAAAATTTTGTCCCCACATCAGAAAAAAAACAGTTTTTGTTTTTTCCTCAAGTGAATTACAGGATTGCCAACTTTTGTATTTTCACAACTATTGGTATTCATGTCAGAACATAGGCTCAAATAGCTTGTATAACTTAGTGATGTCAGGTGACTCTGTGCCATAATGTTCCGCAATCTTCATTAATTTCCATCACCCTGCCATCCTAACTTCACATCTGCCAATCTGCTTTACTTAGCTACCGTGATTGGTAAAATTATCTTTTGCTCAAGTCATTGTCATATGTGTTCTCACTTTAGTTTATAAGCCTGCGATACATTGCGATTTTGTTTAGTCTTTAAATTGAGTTGTCGTGTTCATTTTATTATTTTAATTTTTTGTTTTGATAACTAGGAAACAGCTTGATCCACTGGAGGCTTATGTACCAGCTGTGCTGCTAGCTGGGGTGCAGATTAAGGAATTAGGTGACATTCGTTTCCCACTTTCACTTTTTTCATTTCCTAGTGTGAAAAACTTTTAGAAAATATCCTCCAATCATATGTTATCGCTCCTTAGTTATCCAATAGTTACAACAGTAATTCTTTCTTTTCAGTAGTAGTTAATTTTCTGTAATAGTACTGTTATTTTCATGTAATAGTGCAGTTTTTTATTTCAGTTAAGTTAGGAAGTCATGTCCTAGTTTGTAGAGGTAGTTATTTTGTAAGTGTTGTACTTAAACTATTGTGTGTCTGAGGAAATGAAAAAACAGAAATTTACTAAGTCTTTGAGTACTTCAAACTCAAGAGATTGCAGGTTCTCTCTAACGAACCAACGCCATAGGTCGTAGGAAGAAAACATTCGGTTTCATACTACAGTGCCCCATAACCAGATCCATATCAGGGGACCATAACATCATGCTGCAATCAGTGTGTCTATTTAGATCGAGTATTTCAATGATCTTTAAAGCAATACAGAGATATACTAGATTTAAAGGAGTAACAATGGATAGACACCCGAAGTTGGCACCACGGTCAGATAGACACTTTAAATGTGCCAGTGATCATTAGACACCTTTTCTTGATAGAAATTTGTATCATGAACATCTATCTGCGAGATCACCCGCTTGAGACTCACTCTTTGCTGATATCAGATGGTCAAATGAAATAATGACATCTGTAATCTATTTTTTTTAATAAAAATAGAATTAGAATAACTTATAAAATACAAATTTTATTTATTTACCTATACCATAAGATGGTAGATTTCCTAGGATCAATGTAATTATGGTTTTAGCTTGTAACTTTTTGGAGGTAGCCAGCATACCCTTAATGCTGAAGAATACAACTTTAACTTTATCAAAAAAAAAAAAACTATACTATAAGATGGAGTTTACATGCCAAAGCAGGCAGTGGGTCAACATGTCTACTTTGGCATGTAAGGTAGTTAGGTGATTTTAAATAAAATTAAATAACATGATTGGCTTAAAAACAAGTTAGAAACTTAAATGATAATGTCACTAAAACACAGGTGGTTAGAGAATCTTGAAAAAGGTAACGTTTGGCAGCTACTGAGATGCATTTGGCGGAGCTCAAATTCATTTAGGTGATTTCAAAAAAATTCTTGAGTTATTTGTTTGTATTTTTTTTAATTTGTTATATATTTGAAAATTGTGTATTATAAGAGGGAGTTTGCATGCCAAAGCAGGCAGCAGGTCAACATGTCTTCTTTGACATGTAAAGTTAGCTGGGTTATTTTAAATAAGATTTAATAACATGACTGGCTATAAAACAAGGTAGAAACTTAAATTACAATGACACTAAAACACATGTGGTTACATAATATTGAAAGGGGTAACTTTTGGCAGGTACTGAGACGCATTTGGTGGAGCTTAAATCCATTCAGGTGTTCTTAAAAGAATTCTTGACTTATTTGTTTGTATTTTTTTAATTAGCTAAATATTTAAAAATTTTCATAAAAAATATCATTAATCAGAATAATTAGCAACTTATAATATTTAAAAGACAAAAAATCGAATTGACTCTCGAATTCTATTAGTGCCACATAAATTGGAGAAGAGGAAGTAACATGTATTATCTGAAAATTAAGCTAAAAGTACTATCAATCTCAATAATTAATAATTCAAAATATTTAAAAATCATATAACAATTTAGTTGACTCTCCTAATTCCATCCATGCAGTATAAAATTGAGATAAATAGAGTAACACATATTGAGCATGTGTTTGCACGGGCTCTCCAGTAAATATGAGAAAAGCACTCTGTTCCTCTAATTTCTTTCATCAAATGTTTCAGAACTGAACCTCCGATCCCCCCCCCCCCCCCCTTTTTTTTTTTTAAGTTGTATTCTTCAGCATTAAGGTATGCTGGCTACCTCCAAAAAATTACAAGCTAAAACCATAATTACATTGATCCTAGGAAATCTACCAACTGTTCTGCTACTTCTATACCTTCTTCTTTACACCAAAAAATCAACATGTTAATGCGATTTTCTTTAACTTTCTGCATAGTGTTAGTAATATTCTCATGACACCTAAGATCTCTTTCTCTCCAAATAGTCCACCAGACACAAGCTGGTACTATAGACCACCATTTGTTTTATGTCTTGCTCCCCCCCCCCCCCCCCCTCATCCAGCAGCTCAAAAGATCAGCAGTATGTTCTGGCATCACCCAAGGCTCTTGAGAAATGCTGTAGACCATGCGCCACACCTGAACAGTAACCCTACAGTGTAGAAATAAGTGGTTGTTCGTTTCTTCCTTCTCATGACAAAAAAAACATTTGGAGACAATCTGGAAGCCTCTTTTTCTGAGTTTCTCCTGAGTGAGACATGCCCTTCTGGTGACCAACCAGGTGAAACATTTTACCCTGGTTGGAGTGTTGCCCTCCCATATTTGTTTCCATGGACCATGAATTCCCCCAGAGTGAGTCATGACCTCTCTCCTATACAGTCTACGTACAGAGAACTTGCCATCAGAGTCATGTTTCCATCTTATACCATCTGCTTCCGTAGTAAGGCCCGTGAATTCACCCAATTTGAGTAGCAGTTCAGCAATTCTATCCACTTCCCAATCGTTTAGATTTCTCCTGAAGGTGAGGTTCCATCCCTGACGGGACCAAATCTCAGAAATTTTAGCCTCAGGATTGGTGCAGAACGAGAAGAGATCAGGGAAAACCGTGTTTAGACAGTCTTGTCCAATCCACTTGTCCCTCCCAAAAAATACTTTGTTGCCCTCTCCCACCTTGACCACCAAATTCTTCTTTAGACTATCCCATAAATTTCTGATTGATCTCCAAACTGATACCCCATATGTGCTATCTACTACATTAGACATCCACTCCTCGGTCTGCCCATACTTGTTGAGAATTGCTCTTCTCCATAATGCCTGATCTTCAACCACAAATCTCCAAAGCCATTTAGAAAGTAGACTTTTGTTCTGGACCCTCAGATTTTTTATGCCAAGACCCCCTGTCTTCTTGCTTAGTAAGGCTGTCTGCCATTTAACTGAAGTGTATTTTTTCTTCTTCTTTGTTCCCCGACCATAGGAAATCCCGCCTCAATTTATCCAACCTCTCTTCTACCTTTGCTGGTAGAGGGAAAGGAGACATAACATATGTAGGCAACACATCTAGGACCGAATAGATCAGAGTGACTCTTCCTCCCAGAGATAGATAGTTTGTCTTCCAATTAGCCAACCTCTTCTCTGTCTTCTCAATGATTCAATCCCAAATCACCAGCTCCTTATGATTATTCCCCAAAGGCATTCCCAACATCTGAATATTTGCCACTTCCTTGACTTGGAAGATGCTGCTTTTCGCCCAGTTCACAGCCAGTCCGGAGACGGCCTCAAAAATCACCAAAACAACTTTAATGTAACTAACTTGTTCAGCCTTTGCATCGCAAAATATTAGTGTGTCATCTGCATATAAAAGGTGACTTATCTGCAAATTGAGTCCTGACTGATTACTAATGTTGAAACCCTTTATCCAGTCCTTCTGATTGGCCGCTCTAATCATACTGTTAAGACCCTCCATAGCTAAAATAAAAAGGAATAGGGAGAGAGGGTCTCCCTGTCGTAAACCTCTCTCAGAAGGAAAAAAACCAGCAGGTTCTCCATTAACAAGTATGGAGAACCTGACAGTTTTGATGCAAAATCCTATCCATTTAAGCCATTTGTCTCAAACCCCATCTGCCTCAGTATATTAAGTAGAAACTCCCAATTGACATGATCATATGCCTTTTCTACATCAAGCTTGCACATGATTCCTGGGATCTCTCCTTTAATCCTCGAGTCTACACATTCACTTGCTATTAACGCGGCATCCATAATTTGTCTTCCTTGAATGAAGGCCATTTGGTGATTATTCACTAATTTGCTTATCACTTTCTTTAATCTCTCTGCCAACAGCTTGCCAAAAACCTTGTAAACTCCACTAATGAGACTGATGGGTCTGAAATCCCTAAGTTCCAAAGCTCCTGTCTTTTTTGGGATTAGAGCCACATAGGTGACGTTGAGACTCTTCTCTATTTCATGTCTTTCATCAAATTGTGTCACTGCATTCATGAAGTCTGCCTTCAGTATCTCCCAGAAGTTTTGGAAAAAACTCATCGGAAAGCCATCTGGTCCGGGGGCCTTATCACTAGTACATGCTTTTATGCAATTTAAAACTTCCTCTTCCTCAAATTGCCTCTGCAGCCATACATTTTCCTCTTGTGTAATGCTTTCTGCTCCCTGTACTTTAATTTCTGGCCTCCATTGTTCTGTTTCTCTGTAAAGATTTTGATAGTAACTGATTATGGTTCCTATAATTTCTTCTGAATCTGTTACTGTAACCCCTTCAACCATCAGCTTATCTTATCAATGGTGTTGAATCTTTTATGAGCTGTAGCCATCCTGTGAAAATACTTGGTATTTCTGTCTCCGTGTTTGAGCCAGTGTATTCTTTCGATCCCTCTCCCCTTTTTCTTTCTACACCTGTCGTTATCCTCTCCCTCTTTTTCTTTGAACACCCCCCCCCCCCTCTTCCTCTTCTTCTTCCCCACCCTTCCTCCTCTACACCTTCCACCTTTCCCTTCCCCGCTCCTCCTTCAACAAATCTGTCAAAACTGTTGCGGGTCAGAATCTCTCTCAAAATTCTGAAATGTTGTTTTTTTAAAAAAATTGTAGAATTATCAAATGTTCTCAGAGTTAATTGAGCATTCATGTTTTTTCTTAAATTTTGATATCGGAAACATTATGCACTCTTCAAATAAATTATAGATTTTAAGTTGTACTTCATGTGAAATTAGTTGGTTTTTGAGTCATTATGATTGAAGTCCATCCTGTGCACTGCTTCAGTATGTTGTAATGTTAAAGCAATTCACTCTTATTATACAAGATGTTGTCGTATCAGTTCATATTTTTTCAGTTGGTTGTGGTGGTATATGGTGGAGGTGGGCAGAGGGTGGTGGAAAAAGTTGGAGTTAGAAT